GAGGGTATTTGCAGAAATCGAACTATTGAATTCTCTTGATTGGCTGATAGAAGGGTACGGATGATGACGTCAGCTTTCATGAGCCACACCTTCAGCAAGAACAGTCTTCTGGCGTAAGTTAATCAAATAATCAAGGAAACCTTGGAATGGATAGCAACATTTCGACCGGCTCGAGCCACTTTCGCATAAAATGAAATGCCATATTACATACGCCAAGATCACCAAGATCTTCTAAAGGACTTTCTCATTTGCGTCTCTCTGATTTTCATCACATTTCTAGATTTCGTCCGCTTGACTGTTTGCCTTGTTCCTTCAATTTGCGTATGACAACAATTCAATCCGTCTCTTGTTTTGAGCCCTGGTCTAATATTCTTAATTTCTTGGCGGCGACGGGAGCTTTGATTGTGTTGGCAAAAGCTTGTTGTGTTTGCTAAAAAGCTTGTGGTCACTGGTCAAGGTGTGTTTGCTCCGGTCTAATCTGATTCTGATTTGCACGACTTGTTTAAACTTGACATAGCGGATGCAATTAAATGCTGCAATTGTATTCCACGTCACTGTTGACATTGCTCCGATCGAGATCTTTCGATGTTCATTACACATCTTTTGTCTGGGTGTTGCTTTTTGGGCAATTGAATAGTTCACCAACTTTTCTCAAATTTTCAATGAATAAACTCTCTAGCGATATTTAGCCCTTCGAAAAATGCTCTCATTGATATCTTACTACTCTAAAATCTGCAACATCGCGAGAGGGAACTTGCATAAATACGTCCCTACCACGCGCTCAATAAGATATGTTTCACTCTAAGCTAACCCAGCAACATCCCAAACCTTCAAAGAAGCATCTCCACCAACAGAAGCGACCTTCTTTCCACCATCAACCCAACGAACACCGGTAACACCATCTTTGTGCGCATTGGGAGCTTTGACTCTTTTTCCTGGTGAAGCGAGACTCCAAACGAAAACATTGGTATCGAGACTGCCACTCACGGCGTGGGTTCCAGCTTGGTTCCAATCTGTGAAGAAATATTAGTTGTGCGGCATGGAAAATGGGATAGAGCGTCAAGTATAAGAAGTAAGACATCCTGTGAAAGAAGAAAGAAAAAAACTTACCAATGCTGGTTATTCTTGCCGTATGGCCACCCCATCTATCCGTCTTTATCTCCCAATTAGATGTATCATAAACATGAATCTTGCCTGAAGAATTTCCTGCCGCAAGAAGATCTCCACTAGGTGAAAATTCTAATGCGGAGATTACAGCTAGAGATTTCGTAAGTTCTGTTTTGGGAGATAAATTGTTTCCATCAACGCTGTATATGTGTACAACATTGCGATCATCTCCTACTGCTACAATGTTTCCGTTTGCTGTAACAGATGTTGGTGTGAAGTCCTTGGTTGCCACGGTATTCACGAGGCTACCTCCAGAGAAGATATCGATGCCGTTTGTAGTAGCAACATACAATTTGTCGTCCACAGCTGCGACTCCTTTAGGTTGACCGTTCAACTTAGCTGCCTCACCAACGAAAGTATTTTGAGGAACGTCGATAGTTCGTAAAGTATCATCCCAAGCAACACTATAGGATTTATCTCCAGCGCTGGCCCAACTAGATACTTGATTGGTATGCGAAGAACCTTCAGTAGCAGAGCCAACACCAGTGCCGACATCCCAGGAGACGACTCGACCATCGAAACTACCTGTCCACAATGTTTGACCTTTCTCCGTGTGTGCTGAGCCAATGGCCGTAATAGCTTTGCCATGTCCTTGGACAATCTTCGTTGGTTTATCCGTTCCTTCAGCCAGATAATTTAGATCTCCAGCCAAGTTCAAACTGATGATCATTCCATCACTGCGAGATGGCCACACAACACCAACCTGGTGATCTGGAATGCTTACATTTCCTTCTCCGCCAAATCTCCATGTTTGAACAGCCTTACCAGCTTCGACATCCCATAATTTTACGGTCTGGTCAGCGCTAGCTGTAACCAATCTCTTCGAATCTTTCGCCCACGAGACACTGAATATACTTCCTCTATGCTCTCCCTCTCCAAAGCTTGCCTTGGTATCACCAGTTTTTCCATCATATAATTGAATCTTGCGATCCGCTCCAACACTTACGAGGTGGTTTCCGTCCGGCGAAAATCCTACCCCGTAAATGTAACCTTTATGAAGTTCTCCTAATTTGGCATTGAATTTGAAAGGAGCTCCATGAAGAAACACCATGCTCATATCATCAGATCCAGTAGCTGCTCTGAGTGGTCTTTGCTGACGAATTGCAACTGAATTGATGATCGAAGTATGTCCAACAATTTCTCCCACAGTATTTCCACTGTCTGCAGTTATGCAAGCTCCAAATCGTTCTCGACCATCTCCCACTGCAATGATACGTTGAGAATCCCCATCCCAAGCAATATCATTGATTCTGCCATTTATAATATGATAATCTCCCTTAACATTAACCCCTTCTATTGCGTCCCAGACCTTGACGCTTCCAGAGACATCACCACTAGCAATATAGTAACCGGAAGGAGAGAATCGAGCAACGGTGGTTTGAGTTGTGTGATTTGTGAATTGTTTACTTAATGAAGGATCATCGATATTACGAACGAAAACTGATTTACCAGACTAGAAATAAAGAGTTAGCACTTGCATATTAGTACTTCTAGATACACACGTACGGCATAAGCAATACGCTCCCCCTTTGGATCACAACTTAGCTGTGTCGGACGGCCACGTTGAGTGTCTGGGGAAGCAGCAAGGATCTTATCAATAGTGATAGACATCTTTCGTTAGCTCGACTTCAATGTTAAAAGATTGGTAAGTTTCTGAAATTGTCAATAGTCTTTGTAGAATCAAGGTATCTTACAAGGGAGCTTTAAAGTTTATTTAATGGTTTCGAGATCCTTGGGGACGACGATGAAGTAAGGCTGAGGGGCAGACATTAGTGGGGTTGGCCTTGCCGTTTTAGCTACTACCTATGTAGCTGTGGATCTCAGCCACAATCAAATCTAGCAGGTTCCAGCCTCATGCACTCGTCGGGCTGGTTTTCACTAGGTAGATAATGAATGTCATCAATAACGTCAAATGTTAGGCAACAGAGAATTGGACCTCTATAAGAGGATGATACTATTCGATTTCTCATCGCAAGTGAATATTCATCACTTCTGGCGGAGCTTATTAAGGAAAATACATTTCAGTCATCTCAGGCCAATTCCAATCTCCTGACCTACTTCATGACTTAAAAAGAACTTGTCAAACTCCAAGATACAGAAACGGCAACTTGCATCTATACTCAAAAAGATCAGACAAGATGTTTGTGATGTATGATCCGGACGGAGACTTGGTCCTACTTCTTACACGAGTAATAGGGCTGGGAGACACGAACGAAGGAAAGAATCTAGGAGATTCGGCAAAGACAAAAGCAGGAGCACAAGACTACTCGGTGGAGAACGAGTCAATGGATGAACCAAGCGCTAGCAGAGAAGATGTACATATGTTAGTTTCATCCAAGCATATGTGTCTTGCTTCTCCTGTTTTCAAAGCCATGCTTCAACACAATAATTTCAAAGAAGGTCGAGAATTAGCTTCTGCTGGCAAGATTGAAATTGCCTTGCCTGACGATGACCCTGATGCTTTTGCTATCTTGATGTGCATTATCCATGGCCGGACAAGGAATGTTCCTCGTGAAATCGATTTGGATCTCTTATCGAGAATTTCTACCTTGGTTGATAAGTATCAATTACATGAGGTTGTTGAAATTATGTCTGATAGATGGATATCTTTGCTTGAAGCCGAGTTACCGGAGGAATTCACCGACGATTTTCTTCCATGGCTTAGTATCTCTTGGGTGTTTGAAAAGCCAAGTATCTTTAAAGAAGTTACTCGGATTGCAGAACGACAAAGTAATGGTAAGATTGGTGAAGACAGGGATGACATTCCAATACCAAATCGAGTTCTTGGTAAGATAGATTCTCCCATTTCCGCTGAAGTTCTGAACACATGATATATCTAACACTAGTGAAGATGCAATTCAAGCACGAAGATTAACTGCAATAGCCGACGCCTATTCCACGGTCGAAACAATACTCAACACTGGTAAACATCATTGCACCGCACCCCGCAAAGATTCCTTCGAATGTAGTGGCATGGTCCTTGGAACGCTCCTCCAGAGCTCTACAAACCTTGGCATATTTCCCGTGCCAGATCTCACTGACACCGAGCTCACATTCAACTATGTCGTCAACCAAATCCGCAAAGTGGAAGTGGTTGCTCTATGCGATAAAATATCTCCATTCAAAGGGTTTGAGTATCATCATTGGTCTACTCATGGTGTCAAACAGGCTATCGATACTGCCCTGGCGAATCTTGAGAAGAGATTATCTGGATTGGATATGGAGGATTTTAAGAAGGGAAAGAGAGTGCAGCCAGAGCTTAAGCTATCAGCGAGAGTGAAGGCGAATAATTTGGACATAACACAATTGTCGCTTACACATTCTTGATGCCATGAATAGGACTTCTAGGAACCAGGAGACTCAGTGAATCGCCAGTTTTTGCCCAAACTTCACTCTAATTGTCCCATCATATCAGCGCTCATTCGTTAATATCTTAGCTACTCAATTCACAACTTCGATTACATAGCCGGTAACTTTTAGTAAATACATCATACTCAGCGGTTAAACTCAACCAATTTTTAGCAGCTAAAGAAGAGTAACACAGTTCTTCTTCGACTTCGCAATCAATTTCCATTGCTTCTTCTCGACTCTTATGATCAAAGATGTCATATCCACCACAATATCCTCGACTTTAACTCACTCGAAACTTATTTCTTTTTCGTATCCGATCCACAGCTTTGCAGTATTCGAGAAATCACAGAAGTTCTTTATATTATCCATACATACCATACCGTATCAGTTTCGAAGCTCGATTCTCTTCGATTGTACAGTTTTCCGAATCTCTTCTCCTTTCTATCAACAATCTCCGATTAACATCAAACTGCAATTTTGCCATGATGGAATCAGACACCGCCGAAGTTTCAGAGAAGCTCATCTTTGATACCAAAGGCGATGTCCTTCTCGTATTTGCGCGGCACCCTGAGGATACAGGGGAGGGCGTAGGCTCACCAAATGGGCCAGCGTCATTGAAGAGAAAAACGTATATGCCCCCCCTCCAACTCCTTATGATTTAGAGCTGACAGTACTAACAGTCCCGATGATACTTCCAGCACCATCGCTATGCTTCTTTCTTTAGAACATTTAACACTTGCATCGCCTGTCTTCGAAGCAATGGTTGGCGATGATAGATTTAAGGAAGGGGCCGAGTTACTTGCGTGTGGAAAAGTTGAAATTAAGCTGCCTGGTGACGATCCTGAGGCCTTCGCAATCGTAGCCAATGTCATTCACCACCGCAATAAAATGGTTCCCGAAAATATCAGCTTTCAGTTCTTCGTAAAAGTGGCGATCCTTACAGAGAAATATCAATTATTTGGTGCAATGCGGTGGGTTTCCAAAGAATGGTTCGATAATCTGTCTTGCTCCATTCACAATAAATTTAGTAATATATATCCGCTCATCTTCACGTCGTTGGTCTTTGGCAACGCCCACGTGTTTGAGAGGCACACGCGGAGGGCAATCTTACACTCTAAAGGCAATTTTGGTGCTAATATGAAGGATGACTATTACTCTCGCCCCTCAATCATTGGTAAGTTTAGCAAGATTTAACTAGCGCACTATCGACTAACTTGACACCAGATGCAATCAAGGCAGCCCGTACGCAAGCTTTGTCTGATATATTTGATGCGCTCAACAGTTTTACCAAGCGAGGAATTGAGCCTCTGCCATCTTGCAACGACCCACACGATACATGCGGGATCGTGACTACTGGCTCTTTTCTAAAAAGTGTTGGTATCAATATAGGCTGGCCATTTTCTCCTGCGCCATATACCGGGACGAATATCTTCAATCTTCATAAATGCATCTCCAAACTCAAAATCCGAACCTGGTGTGCAGATTTAAAAGAATTCAGTACACGGAGCGGACCTTTCGTACTGGATAAAGGGTGTGCAAATCAACAGATGTTCACAGAGATGATCGAGGTACAGATCAAGGAGCTCGAAAGGAAGATTGTTGGTTTGAATATCGAAGAGTTCCAGCACATAACATAGCGAAAGGACATTTGATATTCTGTGACTACCTCTTGATATCAATGGACTATGGCAACAAGACGGCGAGAATAGCACTTGGATGGTGGGGATCGATACTATTTGGATTTCTTCTACCCGATTTGACGAAATTCGCATTGTCGTATACGCACAGCCCATCAAATGGGAACGGCTCGAGAGAAACATGCAGCATTGGTTTACGTCAAAATTCATAATATACGAGGCCAGGAGAGTCGAATGCGTCACATATCTTTGTAACAACTTGACAAATACAGCCTTGAGAATCATCACTTCTACCTCACCAATTTTCAAATTTCTACCATGGAACGACATCGCCAGTAACACTCGTTACAGGTTACTCACCTGGAAACCATTTCAAGCATAGCACATTTTTATCAAAACTCTTTACTTCTTTCTATACTCTTCATCTCATACGCCAGGTCAGAAAACGCAGCATGTCTCTTAACACAAGAAGAATAATCTGAATCAGATTCGTCTCATATGAACTTAATTCTAAACACTTTCAATATTCTTACATACTTTATTATATGCACCTGACTGTTTCGTTCTGGTTGCTTCGCATTGCTTCACTTCATCAGTTACCAAGTATGCGAAAGTAATACAATATCTCAACTTCATTTTTCTCTCCTCCTGTGTCTTGAGGACCTGAACCTCGCTACACTCGCCCATCTATCATCATCTTAACCCATTTATTATACTAACCAGGCTACTCATTTGGTATTTTGAGATGCATGCACGCGTAACTTCATCAATACTCTAAAATCTAGTCTAGGAGTAGACGCCCAAGGCGAGACGAAATTCACACACAGGTCTCAATCTTCGTGAAACGACATTACACGCTATTACATTTAATTTCCAACTCTTACTCTACAGTCTAGTAAACCCCCCCTCAGGAGGTTGCAACCAATTCCTCTCATCATACACATTCTCCCCCTCAATAACATGAAACGTATAAATAATTCTTCCATTCGCACTCGTATTCCTCTCACTCTTATGCAACAAATTCCCATGAATAAGCACCAAATCCCCCGCTTTAACTTCACCCATTACATAACTACCTTCCTTTTCCTCTTCCTCTTTCTCCCTCTTCTCTAAACCCCTCGGGAAAACCTCCCCCTTATTCTCCACAAACTCCGTCCCCCCACCATCTTTCCTCCTCACAAATCTCTTCCCCACCCCCTCCCACTTATGACTGCCAGGCCAAAAACTCAAACATCCATTTTCCCTCGTCGCATCCTCGAGCGCGTACCAAAAGCCCACGGCGCTCGGTGGATCGGTATATAAAAATGTGGAATCTTGATGAGGGGGGACTGCGCCGCCTATTTCGGGGTTCTTGCAGATGATCATTGATTGTAAACATTGGGGATGTTTGAAACCGAGCGATTGCGCGATGAGAGAGGGAGAGTGGGTGGCGTTTGGAGAGAGAAGCGCGGCGAAGGGGGGCGAGAGTGAATGGAGGGCGTGTCCGATTTTGTTTATGGAGAGGTGTTTAGGTTTTAGGAGTTCGCCTTTTGGGGAGAGTGCATCTAGTTTTAGGTGTTAGTATTGATAGTGAATGTTCGATTGAATCCAACAACGTTGTGCGAATACAAAAATATCATATGAAGTGAATAATTCATGATCCAAAACACGAGCAAACATAAGTCTTACCTTCTTCAAAGAAAAATCGTATCTTATCACCGCTCTCCAAGAAATAGCTATCCCCAACATGTTCAACGTCATCTCCTTCCCCAGTGCTAAATTTCGTCATAGGGTGATCTTCCAGCGAGAAATTGTTCAACATAGAATGAGTTTCGGATAGCAGGGTGGAAACTGTTTCTTGGGAGAGAGCTGATGGGATGATCAAATAACCATCTTTGTTAAAGGTGTCGAGCTGCTCCTTGGTGAGGCCCTTGGAAGCAGCAGGAGACAGCGATGTACGAGAGGGTAACATGTTTGCTTTGAATTGAGGGAATTGCTATTCTTGAGAGAGTTGAAGGTTTATAAGAGTAAAGCAAGATGGGGAGTTTAAAGAGACGGATTCTCTTATCGAATGACCCCTCACTCGATAAGCATACCTAGCCTAGTCCCCTGGGCCGAATTATGTCGGAATTGCCCGAACGGCTCGTATGCTAGAACACTAGTGAGTGCACGGACTCATAGGACACTTATTAAGAAAGTACAATTTCACATCAAAATTCATTAACTATAAAATCCAACTAAAATTCAATAATATATTAAATATCTTTCAAATGAATATCTTAGGTTTATTAATAACAAAATATAATATATTCAAAAAGAAATAGAAAAACTTAAGATTTGAATTCAAAATGCTTAATATTATATTTTCTTATTAAAGAATTTAATAAAAGTTTATAACGTGATTTATCATCGAGTAAATAATATCATCAAATAGACTACTTTCACCTTAATAAACACAACCAACTTCAATACGCGATTTATTAACCATTTATTATATAATCTAATAATAAAGAAGTATACTTGCTTTTAGTTATCAAAGCTATCGAAAACAATAAAAAACTGAATCTTTGAAAGGCCTCCCAATTATATAATATTCCTTATATAATCCTTATTTATAAAATGAATAGTTTAATTTTATATATTAGAATTTAAGTAAATTGATATAAACTTATAGAATTAAAAGAGGAGGTTATTATTTAATATATTTTTAATATAAATTCAAAAGGGTTTTTATTTAAATTTAAGGGAATAGAAGATACAGTGAATTATATTCTTGAATCGAGGGGTATAAAATGTATTGAAAAGCTTTAGGCATATTGATTTGTAAAATATTGAATTGAATTAAAAATATTTTTTAATTGTGTTTATAACTTTTAAAAAGCTTTTTATAAAAATCTTAAGTTTATTAAAAAATGATTTTAATTAATTACAAATATATAAATGAAATATAATATTTTGAATAACAATTTTTATAACTTTAATGAAACAAACTTTATAATGAATATAATATACTCCGGAATAGTTATAATTAATACTGAGAAATATAATAAAAATAAATCAATATAATTAGGTAATTGAGAATGGGCTATAGTAATAATTTACAGTAATAAGAAGGGTGAAACTATTCTCCTATTTCTAGTGGTTCAAGAATAGATTCATCTTTTCAATTAATATACTAAAACTAATCTTTCTGTGGAATAGATTATTAAACCTATATCTAATAGATAAATAAATAATAAGATAGATTTAAAATAATTAAAACATTTTAATAAGTATATTAAGAATTGAAAAAAGAATAAATATCGAATGTTGATATTAAATAAACATGAAAATTATGAATTAATAGCTTTTCAAGTATATTATAAAGAAAACAATATTATATATTTAAGTTTATTATTGTATTTAAGTTATTTAACTTAGCCACTTAATATTGACTGTTTTAGTAATCTGAAATGTTCATATAGTAATCAAATTGATGGATTTATTAAGGCATATACTAATTATATTTCAAAGATTGAATTCTTTATAGCTTTTAAAACTGTATATAAAGAATTAATTACTTTTTAGAATATGAAATTAAAATTTCAAGAAATAAGTTTAATATTTTTCAATTCTAAAGCTGTGCTTTTAAAATTAAATATTCAAATTCATATATCTACTTCCCCTTCTTTCAATTAAGATTTATGGATTCCTTAAATCCCTTATAATTCATTTGAAGCTTTTTGTTACGGGAGCTGCCTCTAGGGTCACGTGGAAATGTCTAGAGTTCTCTCGAGGTGGTTTAGATTAGACTTCAAGTAGGAATTCAATAAGGTTGTAACTAGTTGCAATTCTTGTAACTATAGTAATGAAATTAATGATTGTTCTTGAGCATGAAGCTTTATATTGTAATGAAACCCATTCTTTTATATAAACCTTCGTTCTCTATCCTGATCTCTAGAACCTCTTTGATATGTTGGATCGTTAAGGATCGCAATGCGCTCCAGGAGCGCTGAAGCTCCTTGACGCTTTATCACGTGTAATTTATGTCATGTGACGCGGTATGTTGGATGCCGTCGTAACACTTTTTCATAATCAATTTTAATAAAATCTCGAATAACTTGTTATCAATTAAGTTTCTCTATATTTATATTCAAAACTGTATTAGCTTTAGTTAAGGGTATAGAGAGATTAGCTTATAAAAATACATTTTTAAATATAAAGATTTATATACTTTGGATAATAAATGAAATATTAAATAAATATTAATATATAAAAAAAACTTAATTATATTAAAAAAAGTATTTATTAAATAAGAAGCTTTTAATATATTATTTCAATAAGAAGTTGATATCCAGATTTAATATAATAAGTATTAAAAAGAAAGGAATTCTAATAGAAAAACATTTTTTAATTAATGCTATAATAAGTGTAAAAAGATTGAGTATAATATAAGGATTTATCAAAATAATTTAATAGATTCTAGATTATTAGAATCTTTATAATTTCAATTAATTAATTTAGTTGTTATTGAATAATATAAGTTTAAAAGTGTGAATTGAGGTAAAAGTGGTTCACTTAATGACATAGTTTACTCGATGATAAATCACGTTATATCTAATTATAAAAACTTCGATTTTCTTTTTAGATTCTTTTTTTGATTCAAACCTTAAATTATATAAAACTCTTATACTTACAAGTTATATATTTCAATTTCAAAGGGATTTATCAAAAGATTGAATTATAATTGAATTATTAAAATCGATCTTTTTAGTATAGAATTGTGTTTTACTTGTAAGCTATTCTGTGAGTTTGTATACTCACTGGTGGAACATACTTTCAAATTGTAAGTTTGAACCAGGAACCAATTGGTGACAGCACCAATCTGGTATGGCGTATGCTTCCACTACTAGCTGGTAGCTGGTTATTTGAGGAGAGCATCTGTACGGAGCAAGTAAATGAGGACAAGAGAATTGCTGGGATACACTTTCTTCTTCTGCGTCACTGTGCTTGCGATTCAAAAATCACAAAATACTTCATGTTCCTTCGTGTATCGGTCATATTTCTTGATTTGAGGAGGATGATTCGAGGGGATCTTCTGTGGAAGGGTAAGTAAGTAGTAAGTAGTATGTGGAGTTGGTGGGGTTGAGGAAGGTTGTGTAAAAGAAAAGAAAACAGACTGAGGTTATAACAACCAACAAGCAAACTGGTGACTGAGGGGTTCGAACCCTCGCATCTCTCGATAATGGTGATTTGTACTTCATACGAAGTGTCTTAAAACCATCGCCTTAGACCACTCGGCCAAATCACCACTGTGTTCCTGTAACATTTGGTGTGCAGAAATCAATAAAAATAATTTAACTTTATCATTAATATTTTTCCGCTCAATCTCGTTTCAAAAAATAAAATTAACCCACTTAGATATTTCTGCCCCTCCAAAAATCTGCTTTTAATCCATCGATTCTTTCGAGCGAAATGTTTTGGTGTGGGGCAACATAGGGGGGGAACAAAAGAGAGACTAGTGTTGAAGCACCCCGTTGATATTACAATCATTACTACTATCCCAATCTTAAGGTTGAGGATTTCCCTGTTCTGTCAGACGCAGAGACTCTCGCCATCTAAATTATTCCTATCTTCATTACTCCGATCCACCCACTTATGATCACCTTACCGAGAATACTATTTCCCAAAGTACATCGTCAAGGCTCTCAACCAACGTTCTTGATACTATCATGCGTTATTCGAACTACCGAAATGAGTGAACGTATATACTTGTGCCTACCTAGTATTTCAAGAAGAGCCAGATACGTATACTCGAACTTCATAGATGATATAGTTATCACTTGAAAGTTGAAGATCACATCCGTTCTCTTTGTTCTCGTCAGGCTACCTCGATTGGCAAAATAGTATTTACCGAGCTAGTCCTGAAGTTTCCCTGGGGCCGCGAAAGAAGATTATTTTAATTAAGCTATTATCTGAAATCTCAAAGTACACTTGCCCGGTCTCCTCAAGGGTTTTCTCGGACACTGTACTTCCTGTCTTGTATGCTTCAGTGTAAATCCTATCATGTCTTCCTTGATTGGTTACCTCACTGTCTTCAAAGTTCTATCGTTACTTGAAGGATTCAAGCCGTTGATGAAGTAACTAACTAATAAGTGTGAGAGATCATTCCTCTTGTATTCCTTTAATCCTTCGATCTCTGATATTCGTATACTAGTAGTACTCATATTTCTGAGCCCAAATCTTATCCGGAATTCAGATTTCATTACACAACTGATCGTGGATATCAACATTTTTGTCGTCTTTGTTTTTATGACTAGTGATAGTGTGATATCACAGTATGCAGCTGTCATTAAGTTTCTATTCGTTACTGAACCAAAATGACTTTTCAATGTCTGGTTTCTTTAAAGGGCTTGATTTAAGTGAGAGGTTATATGTATATACTTACTAGACGATTACTTATTTACACGGCTGCTGGTTATGATATTCCGTACATAGATGACTATTGCTTACATCTCGATCAAAATTGTCCACAAACATGTCTTTCGAAGCGGCTATTACTCCACTCCAAGCTCTCGTCTCAAGCTAACCCAGAAGTCCTCGCGGAAATCCCAGCTATCACTGATCTCCCTGGTGTTACTTCAAATTTTGGTAAATCCAACAAGTAGAGGTTAGATGCTTGCCACTTTCAGTTCTAAATTAGCTGTTACCTCATGATAGTTCTTTACGCTACTCGAATTTACACAAAATTGGTGATTCAGTTGAAAGCAACAAAATGTGATTGTCAGTTGCTCATTGTCATTTTCAAATTTCATCAAAATCAACCACATATTACTCGCTCTTCTTGTACGCCTCGCGCGTAGCATTACTTTGGTCAGATATATCTGATACCAACTTGCCTGCAGCTTAGTGGTTTAGTAGTCTTTGATTTGTATGTAAACCATAGCTACCACGCATGTAACAACCTTCTAAAAGCTGTCACTGAATATGAAACTGTCTGCGTTCATTCACGGGATATCTCCTTATTGTGTCTATTTAGTTGACGAAATTCGATATTATATACTCTTAACAAAAGTATACACGGGAAGAAAGAAAATGGACTGCAAGTTCATTTACGAGATGGCTTCTGAAAGCAATTTCACATATAAATACAGTGCTTTTCAAGACGTAAAGTTTTTATGTAGATAGAAAAGTTCTTAGCGTCGTCAATTTAGATGCTTGGAAGCACAGAAGTGGTGTAATTCACAACATCAACAGAGGATAATTAGAACATGATGAGATGTTTTGTTGTGATAGGTAAGAAACGATGTTGACAGCCTACTGTGACCGTACCCACTAAATTTGAAGCGACTGTTATTCCCCTTGATACCGACACGAATTAAGCTGGTTTTCTCAACGAAAGTCCTTCTTATCATTAAAATTTCCTGAAACTTGTTCTCACACAACCGGAACCCTTCAACATGACACCAATAAGAAATTGAGACAATAAGGACATCTGAGGAATATCAAATGCATCAACCTCTTTCTCTACTATTGGATACTCCCAAACCTACTTTCTTCTGACAAAGAAATACCATCATTCGACGAGACAACCAGAAAAAACTCAAACAGAGCGAATGAGCCAAAGAAACCATAGCTGTTAAAGAAAGCTGCGATTTGGAAGAGTACTGAGGTCCAAAGGAGCCGTGTTGCAAAATATGATGTAACGAAAGGGCAGGCAATCCTTTTCGGACGATTTGTAAAGACTAAGGGAGCACGAAGGAGTTTTTGAGGGTGAGATTGCTATATAATGATGCTGTTGTGAGACAGGGAGAGGAACACAGTCTAATGCTTTAACCTGATGCTGGGGGGATGATGAATCGTGATGTTGCGCTCTTTGCAATAACTTGTTGTTTTGCAAGGGGTGTCATCAGTCTATGGCTCATTCTCATTGGAATCGAATAGAGAATGAGTGACAAAAGACCTCTTGCTAGAGACTAATTCGGTCGTCACCCGCTCTTCTCCAAAAATCACTGTCGTTATCAATGTCATAATTATCGACGCTATAATCAGAGTCATCATCATAATCATCAGGAGGATCAAGCCATTGATATACGTCGTTGCCATCGTCATCCGATGGTGGGTTTTCCGTAGTATTGATAGTCCATCCGTGATTCATCATTTTCCCCCTGATATAATCACCCGGTCCCTCCTCATACAAGTTGACAGTAATGCTTTGTAGGGATGGAATGGCTCTGAAGCGAGAATTAACTAAAGCTAAAGCCTCCGCAACAATATTGAGATTGTCAAGTCCATCAAGCTTGATAAGCCAAGTGTTGGTGCTTTCCAAATCGGTTTCAAGCGTAATCAAACTGGTACAGTCGTTTTGGATTTGCAACAAGTCTTGAGAGTCGCTGGCTTCAAGCTCAATACTAGAAGGTTCTAGATCGTAGAAAGAGGGAAAGGTGGTAGCAATATGTCGGATATAGCTAGCATTGATAGGACCGATCTTATTGAGAAGACCTTGAGCATCCCACAGATCGAATTCGAAAGAATTCTGCGCGTAAAATACTGACGTGGCTTCGCCGTGGATAGTCCTGCATGTGAAAAGTAGGCCCTGAGTCAGGTTTCTGGGTAGGAATCGCAGCTCAGAGTCTATTTCGATAAAGGATTCACACACTAAAAGTTCCTCATATATCTTGTTGCGAAGTTCCCTGGGAAGGCTGAGAATGTTGGTCGACATTTCGGTGGCGGTTAGCGCTTGAGGCCTCCTACGCTCACTGCTACACACAATCGAGATTTGTTTTCTCACAAGCTGCCGATTGCAGACGCGACGTACAGTCGACCGATACCAAATATGTTGTTGGGAAGTTGATTGCTAGGTCAGAGTTGAGAAGAAAACCACTCCATTACCTTTCCACCGCTTAAGAAAGCAAATAAGCCGTCAGCGACCCATCAGCCACAAGCCTCACTTCTTGTACCACCTCATCCTGTACCACCTCATCCTGTACCACCAACTCCATTTCCCTGAAATTATTAGCTTCTCTATCCTGATGACCCATCGATCTTTGTATCATTACACAACCTTACGGTTACTATTCAAGATACACACTACTAACAAGTACTGTGTAACAGCTTTCCATGCATTAACCCGTAACCTCGGGATCTCTCATTACCTCCTTTCTCTATCTGTTCCCCATTATCGTGATCGCAAGCCCGCAAGCCAGAAAAGGAAGATTTGTATCCCTTATCGTGGCCGTGAAGTTGTCTAACCTACCTATGTGTACATTTCTTAGAGGTGACTGAAGAAATGCCGAGGAGCAAATACTTGTGCTGATATGTAAGAATGTAAAAGATGCTAATTACAACAAGAAAAGGCCGAGGCTATCTGCCCATCAAGAAGATGTACCAATGGTTGACCTCTAGTCTCTTCAAACCCTCAGTATGGTAACGTTGTATGGTGAGCGACGAGAAACTGCAAATGTCAGTGAGCCTCTAAACAAGCTTTGGCGCTATCATGGATTCAATGTATAAGCTAATGCAAGGAACTGAGATATCATTAACATGAGAAGCATGCTTTCATTGGCCTAACTCCTAATTTATGACCATTAATTCATATTAATCCAACCGAATTCAGTCCATCGACTGTATACGCATAGATTCATACAGCCGCTCTCAAAATGCTCAAATGCAGAAAATCATCCACCCAAATCAAGAGACCTTGGGAAGTCTTTTTTTAGACATTCCATGTTGTTACCAAAAGTATAGATACCAAGAGAAGTAAAGTCGAAACGTTATAGCCATATCAGTGTATCACGAGTTTGTTGCAGAGTTGCCTGAAGTAAATTATGCGGAAATTCCTCCGGAGCGCTCACTTGGTATGAGTTCGTAGCCATCTTCAGGGGCGAGGGCAAATGCAGAGATGGCAATACCTGCAGCGGATGCAATCGAGAGACACCAACTGACAGTGCAGAAAATCCATCCTTTGTCCAGCTTCCAGCCCGGGAAGAATTGTTCATCATGGTCATATAGATAGGCCTACTAATAGTCAGTATCATCTCGTCTCTTATCCATTAATTTCCAAAACAAGCACAACATACCACAATACTCATCCCAGCTGCTTGAACTATACCCACCAAGACTAGCAAGAAAGCTAGTATTTTCCAGCCCGTCTCTCTCTTCTGCTTGCCACCGAATAAGACAACTACATATGCCACCAATGTAACCAACTCTACCACAGCCGCAAAAGACATGAGAAATCCTACAGATCGCCACATGGAACAGAATCCCCTGTCTGGCCCTGCACAATCTTCCGATGTAGGGAAGTGAGAAGAGTGGCCTGTGAGCGAACTATAGCTGCGATGAAGTCCTATCGATTTCGTTACATGATTACCGTTCGGTGTCGTCACATCCCATGTAATCCAGTCGGGTATGAAGATGGATACAAAAGTCATTGTTGTCGCTATACAATTCAAATAATCAGCTATTGTACTATAATGCTTTGGCACAAGATGGCGAAATCAAGCCCAGAGGGCTAGATTCTGGTCAAGAGAACTGCCATACTACTAACAAATAACACATACAAACGATGCAGAGAATAACATACCAGCGATAAATACTGCGAGAGCGACACTGTAAACATAAACCCTCGTCATGGTGCTGTAAATATCCCAAGATTACTTTCGCAAACTTTCTAAATTCCCACCTCTCCTTCGATCCAAACGTTTGTTCCCGTCTCGCTTTCAGGGACTTGATATCGAAGGATTAGCTTTCCTCTTGAAGAGATATAAAGATAAGAGACAATGAAGACTAAAGAAAAGAAGTTGAGAATGAGGGATTCGAGTCGTTGTTATTGAAGGAAGGTTGCGTAGTAGACCTATGCATGCAAAGCACAAACCGGTTGGCCTGGCCTGCGTAATCGAGTGATTCGCTGATATTAAATAAAGCTTCCTCCAAGTTATCTATCGCCCAAACATTCCACAAATGGCGGTGAACGTTTATTTCGGAGATAGATCCGGTTCCTTCAATTATAATTACCTATATCACGCCTCAAAATTTCAAGTAGATTGATAGATGATTTCTGTACATGTTTGAAGTGATGGGATTCTTTGATGTTATGAAATAAAGATTAAGTTTATTAGTTGGACTCTAAAGAGTGGAGTAGAGTGTCGAAATGACGTTGGAGATTTAACGAGTTCTAATGGGGGGCTTCGGAAAATTCGACAGATTTTAATCACGAGGACTGATTTAGATATGGCTGCATACAATTGCATACAAGACACAGTCAGTAGTATCACATTATTGCTAGGTAGGTACTGATAAGAAGCAATGATGTATGAGAATTGTCCCATTATTGGTGATAAAAGGACAACTGGTATGTGATGCCATGTCTTTTTATTGGGGTATCTCAGTTAACAACAATATCATGGTTGATTTGGATATCGGAGAAAATGCAACCACTAAACAGCCACCACCATGTATTATCTTCTCAGCCATCCCTGACTGGCCATCCCAAAAGAAATCAGGAAACCAACTTAGACGTTTCCATGATCTCCAACTGGGTTATCGTATATGCAATTGATGTTTGTAGTTTCCGAGCCAGAAACATTCAAGCGATGGGTAAGTCTTCAATCCACATCAGCTCTCAAACCATTCTTTTGAACAACCATTATAATGAGACGTAACATGTGGCCAATACCACTCGCTCAATATTGGATCCCGTCCTCACTCACTGTCCTCACTTTCGCTGCTGCTCGACCCGTCTTCACTGGACGAATCATCATCACCACTACCCGAACTAGATGAGCTGCTTGATGAACTGGAAGATGTATCGTCTTTGCGGTTGCCGTCCACCATTGACTCATCATCGGAGCTGCTATCATCAGAATCACTACTTGAATCCGAGTCAGAAGAGCTTGAATCATCAGCGGCAAGTGTCCTCTGCTTTCTTTTCCTTCCGATCTTCTGCGGGGTACCATCATTCAATTTCAACCTCTTTTCTCCGTCAGTTGCTAAAGATTCTGTCTCCGTGGCTTGCGTATCCGTCGTCTCTTCGGAAGACGAAGGGCCCAATTCAGCAAGAATTTGTTCGGCCCTCATTCTTTTGGCCATTCTGGGAGCCATTGCTGCGTCCGACAATCCCATAATTACACCTTCTTCATACCCCATTCGCGACGATGCCCCAGCGGCAGTCATTGATGCAACATATTCATTCATAGCAAGGTCGTACTCTCGTTGTCTTTTGCTACCGTCTGCCATGGTTGCTGGAAACCCAGAAGCGTCGGACTCTCGATCTTTCACCTTGATAGCTAATGCTTCGTCTCGAAGTCTTTTTCTAACCCCTCCCTGCAAGCCTCTGACGTACTCGTAGATAAGATGGACGTGATCGGAAGGAACGACCTCAACGTTAAAAGCGTGCTTCAATAGGTGATTTTGGTGATTTTTATTGAACTTCCACGTCTCCTTCGATTCGTGATACTGTCTTAAATACGCTAAGAACGGGCGTGGGGTGGCAGTTGGTTTGGAGACTTTCGATTTCTTGACAGACTTCTGGGGCTTCGAATCCTTCTCACTGGTACCATTTTCTGGTTTGGCTTCCGATTTTGTCTTCTTGACTCTTTTCACCCTTCGTTCCTTTTCTGGGAGCGTAGTATCAAATTGTTCCTCGACTATAGGTGGTGCGGGTGTTTCAAAAGCTTGACTCGTAGAAGGACCGTAGAAAAAGTCGTCTTGTGCCTTTTGATCGGCCACCCAACCCAAGTACAATTGTTTTATACTATCGCCATCTTGAGATTTTGTTTCCGGGGTGAATGTCACTGATTTTTTTAGCGCAGATTTTCTGGGTGTGGTAATAATTGAATCGGGAGCGACCGATCGTTGTGGTTCAGCAGCAGGAGGATGAGAGTCGAGATTCTTCGGTTTTTTCGCAGATGTCTCGTGCTCGGACTCGAGGTCGTCTCTTGGTCTTTTCCTATTCGCTATCTCGATTTCTTCAAGAGGTTCGGTAACTGAGGCTTGAGTATTTGAATCTGAGGAATTTGGGGCCGATTTCAACTTTAAGCCTAATCGTTTCCATGAGGGGATTCGTGGCGCCCCTCCACTCGCGGAAGTTGAAGGTATCATGGCAAAGAATTTAAGAAATCTAAGAAATCTACCAGCCTATAGACACATGAAGTTAGATATATGATTCGTGAGGTAAGCCTTGATATCTGACGAAAAGTATAAAAAATTGACGCACAGATTGATGTTGATGTGAAGGACCGCGAAGTAACTTTTTTTCTCTTGATAAGAATAGCCGCCGCTTTAATACCCGGCGCTAGACTATTTTGAACGATAGTCCAGGCTTCAAGCTTCCGCGTGTAAAGGTTAGATACCAGTAGCTACCTACTCTACTGTACATGACAACTTTGAAGCATCATAATTTCTTCCACGTCTTGATTTCACACCTAAACAACCACGGTACCTGTTGATTTAAATTCACAAGTAGCCATCGTCTTGAAATACCCCATCCTTCAAATTCAGATACCAAGTCAACTTCTTCAAGATGTCGGGTATGTTTGTTCTCGCGCGCCCACCTCTTGACAAGCTCCTCAAGAAGCTTGAGAAGCTTGCACTAACAACCCACAATAGGTAGCGCGGGTTACGACAGACACATCACGATCTTTTCTGATCAAGGAAGATTATACCAAGTCGGTACGTAGATCCAGACGCAAATAGAACCGTTAAAGCCATGGGATTCGTAGGATCTCAGCTTTATTGATCTATCACGACCCAATCCAACATGACAGCATACAATAACATTATACTAACTACTCTTGCGACAATAGAGTATGCTTTCAAAGCTATCACCGCTGCGAACATTATGTCTGTAGGCATTCGAGGAAAGGATTGTGCCGTTGTTTTGTCTCAAAAGAAGGTTCCCGTACGACACACTGATCCAGATTCTATTTCAAGTTCAATACTAATACATTGATGCTCCACATAGGATAAGCTCATTGATCCATCATCCGTCTCCCACATCTTCCAATTGTCACCATCCGTGGGATGCGTCATGACAGGTTCTATCGCAGATGCCAGAGCCTCTGTTCAGAGAGCTATTGGTGAGGCTGCCGAATTCAGATACAAGTTTGGATACGAGATGCCGTGTGATGCCCTGGCAAAGAGGATCGCCAATATTAGCCAAGTTTATACCCAAAGAGTAAGCTTACTTAATGAAACCTTTGTCGAATTGTTGGATGATACTGTATCTCTGTTCGTCTTGCTAACTTTATATTGTTTTTTAGGCATACATGAGACCGTATGGTGTTGCAACCACGTTGATATCGTTGGATTCTGAATTTGGTCCTCAACTGTACAAATGTGACCCGGCTGGCTACTACACTGGTTATAAGGGAACAGCTTCGGGTCCAAAACAGCAGGAGGCGTTCAATCACCTGGAGAAAAAGCTCAAGAACAAGGATTGTGCAGAAGGTAGCTGGGAAGATGTAGTAGAATTAGGCATCACAACTTTGAGCACAGTTCTCAGCGTCGATTTCAAGAAAGGAGAATTGGAGATTGGTATTGTTGGGGGGCCAAGAAAGGACGGAAAGGAGGGTACAGATCCGGGCTTCAGGGCTTTGACTGAAGAGGAGATCGATGAGAGGTTACAAGCAATCGCAGAAAAAGACTAGCTGCCAATCATGAGTAAAGCGATGAGGCAACTATGGAATACGTTCGGTAATACCGGCGAATGACTGATCAAGAAATACTATTGCTATGAAATTCAATTATGATACCAATCTGCATTTGATACTGAGCAATGGTAGACGAGAAAGCCACATATCTTTTGTCATCTCGTTAATTTTGGTGCAACATCATGTGTACGCCGAAGGAAATAAAAAGAAAAGAAACGAAGCGGAAACATAGCCATATTGTGGCTTGACCACTGCTGGACTGAAAAATAGACGACCCATACCTTCGGTGACAGTGTCATGATAGTCTCGGATGATCTGACTAGATTCAGGAGAACATCACTTTACTGCAGCATCAATTATCTAGCATTACGCAGCCCTATCCGGAAATATAATTTGGGGGATTGATCGAATCATCAATCATCTCGCATCTCAACCCAAAAACCAGACAGGGATAGGAAATATTGAGCATTGAGGATCCAAAAAGAGTAGTGGGGTGGAGTCCCCAAATGGGTCTATTGGAGTTTCCAAGTTACGGATATGGAATATTGAGATGCGGTGATAGGAGTATCTCCCTACGAAATCACATCTTGGTACTGGGCTAAAGATCGTATGGCCCCCAGATGATCTGCTGTAGTCTGTGTTCAGGAGCTAAGAGATTCTCCTGGGTATGTGTACAGAAGAGTATGGTGTGCTATGTAATCATACATATGCGTCGAATCCGATATGGTTGGTACCTGGCGCAGTCACCGCTTGTCCAATGTGAGTGAGATGCTTTCTACAACTTCAGCTATAACGATATTATGATCTGAATCCGAGAGCTCCCATTGGCCGAAAAATTCGATGGCAAAACACATTTGAGCCTTGGACTGGCATGGTTTTGGCTCTGATGGCTTTTTTGTAAGATTATTAGTGGATTAGATGATTTGACGGGTCAAGACCTAGTGAAGGCTGAATATTTTATCCTTGTTCCCACGCGAGCGAACAGGTACCGAGGTGTAGCATCAATCTTTTTAGCTTATTTTTTACTTTGCTTCCTTTACCAAGAAACCCAAAAGGAATCGGAAGTCACATAGATAGATGTGATTGCACATCACACAGGGGACCCATATCAATTACCCAAATCTACCTCTCATCTAATCCTCCCATCATCCTCCACCACTCGTTCCCACGTTTCAATCCCTACGCCCTTCCTCTCAGAGTCTAAAGTACACCCATTCAGGTTACACAATACTATTCCAAAACCTATCTCGAGCCATCTCATCTGAACCCTTGAACATATCGCAAATCGCTGCCGTCATGCATATCCTGAGAAACACCACAATAGCTTAGTACCCTTGCATCCTTACATCCTTACAGCTCTGTAGGGTTTAAACTAGCTTTGAGCTCGTCACTCCCGTATCATTAGCATCGGACTGAGTTGTGGGGCACAAATGGCTTTCTATACAGTGAGAGTCACTCAATGGTATCTAATATTTCCAATGGAATCAAAGAATTGGCTTTGCCTGGCTGAGGTATCCTCCCGTTAGCCAGCCACGTTGAGACTCAAAGTGGATGATCAATTTTCAGAGTCGACGTCTTATCTAGTTAACTACGATTTGAAAAGCTTCATAAACGGCCGAGATGGCTTCATCTTTCCAAGACATCAACGGCACAGTCTTTCATTCAGTTCCTCATTGTCTCCCGTCTCCACTTCATACCAGTTAGCAAGTCATTCTAGTGTCCATTCTCCCGTTATTTGAAGTTGCGCGGCAGTTTCAAACACTCAAATCTACACACACAATGGCCGATGGATGTAAGTCATTTATGTTCCTACCACACAAGACGGTTACTTGTACCCGTCCCTACAGTGCATTCGGGACGGATGAGACTCAATTGGCTTCAATGACTTACACAATCACTAGTGAACGATCAAAGAACTGCTCGGGTAGCAGATCTTCTCTCCGACTTCCGCACCCTTCAATACTACATCGCTGCTGCTCCTACCGACCCGTCAAACATGGATGATTACTACACTGAAGGGTATGCCGCTCTTCGTCAATGCTCCTTAGATGGCCAGCACATCCTAAACTGCGCTGCCGAGACTCGCGTCCCACGAGTTCGCGGTGGTGCAGATGAGCAATGCAAAGCAGAATTGCAACAGTATGTCTCTCCCTACCATCCAACGGCACGATCGGGGTCTTTCATGATTTTCCATACTAACAGCAAGAAGGGTACTCCTTGATGCGTTTTCTCGCCGTCACGAGGCTCAAAAGATCTACCTTCGCCAAGGTGCGGCACAGCGCTGGATCGGTTACAGAGATCAAGTGCTACAGGGCCAGAGACCTCATACCGGGCACACGGATCAATTGAACGCGTGCGATGTGCAGCTTCGAGCAGTAAGTCAAAGGTTTTTTTTTTTCTCTTTCAATTCTCCACTCCGATTCTCCGAGCCGCTCCCCACTTCCGGTTCTTGTGCGAACAAGCAAGGATGCTGCCAACTTTCGATCATTTGGGATTATTGACTTTTACGAGTTCTGATTTGGGAAATAGGAATTGGTATCAATCACAGATGAGGCTATCTACTCGGATTTAAGGTCATCCGATTATGGGATGGGGCGCTGGACGCAAGAAGATCCGAGCTTGAGACATGTGCAGAGATGGGTTAGGGCTAGACGTTAACCTGTCAGTGTTCGGAATCGAAGCAAGTGGACGGGAAGAGGAGTGTGGCTGCCGAGGATGAGTCGTCGGGAGAGAAGGGACGGGGTGAATCGGATGAAAGGAGGGCTGTAAGATTATTGTACTGGAAGATGGATTTGGTAATGGTTGATGGCTCTTGTCGAATTCGGATTGTTTGGGCGATTGGATTGGCATGGCATGGCATGGCATGGAATTTCTTTACACTTAAAATGGTTGGCGGTGGGCATGGAATGGCGCACACATCTGTTTTTCCCTGACCCTGGCGGTTAGGTTTTCTTTGGCTACTTCCTTCCTTAGTCATTATACGAGATTAGACGAGAGATAGTTCGGTTTTAGAGCATAGAGCTGTGCTAGTGCGTCTAAAGTTAAGTTGTGAATTTTGAATTTTGAATTTTGAATTTTGAATCAAGAGATTGAGACATGTTGAATGATCTATGTGACATCAGTGACATCTGCCTATTCACACTAGCTAGTATCCAATATAATGGATCCTACCACGCTCTTTACACCGGTCTGTAAGCAAAGAGAATATACCAGCTTCGTACGGCGGCAAAATCAAATATGTATACAACTTCCGGAAACCTCACATGATCGATTCCTTCTACCATATAATCCTTCCTCGATATCAATTATCGGTTACCCCCACTCCCGACAATGTGATCCAAAAATAACTCCCAAGGAAGGCTCATCCCGTCTTACTATGAACACAGAGCGCAATGCCACATAACGACAAGATCATACCAATCCAGGTATCTAACAATACATTAGCTCTCGTACTCGTAGCCCAAGCCAGGTTTCTTGACTATCTACTCCGATCAACAGCAGTGATGGGGAAGGGATGTAAGGGCAAGGGATGAGGGGAATTACCGCGACTGATCACTTTTCTTTCCACCCACCACTCTCCTAATACTGTGAAGAGAAAAGCCAGAGAATTTGTAATGGGGACGGTTAGGGAGAGTTCTACATATATCATTAGCATCATCTACGTCATGATTGTAGGAATTCATATTCACGCTTCTCCCCATCTCCTTTCCTCCAGGATCGAGATGACGAGAAAAGGAAAAGTCAAAACTCACCAGCCTGGCCGATTAACAAGAAAAACCAAATACTCCCCGTCAAATTGATCAGCAATGGAATCGCATATCTAGGATTTCTCAGAAGATCCACCACTCCAAAGAAAGCGCCATAGAGCTTCGATTTGACGAAAGATTTGGTAACCGAGGGGGATGAGAGAATGGGGTGAGACGGCGGTTGGTGAGTTCGGGCGGCGGCTCGGATGAATGGGGTGGTGAAGCCCCAGGCGACACCGATGAGGAGGAAGCCGATGATGTAGCGGAAGATTGATGGAGCGGAAGTGTCTGGTGGGGTGGAGGTCACTGGGTCTGATGAAAGGGTGGGGATGGGAGAGGGTGCGATGGAATACATGATGTGTTGATGTGTGATGGATGGAGGACAGGGTGGAGGTGGGCGATTGGTCGAGAGTGAAGAGTGGAGAGGTTGGTAACCTTTTCAGGGGATTTTAGGTTGAACGTGTGATGAAAGAGAGTTGTACGGATCTGTGGTACATTTATTACTGGGTGGGTAGGTCGGTCGGTCGGTCGGTCGGTATCTCTCGATGATGTATGGTGTATGGGAGTGAGAGGAATACGATCTTCAAATAATAGCAAGGTACCTACTACCTACAGTAGATGAATAACGCCCTGGTCGGTATTCGAGGATTAACCGAAGAAGAATGCAAAGCGGCGGTTCATTACCAATTAGCCTTGTCTTGCCTTGCCGCAAGTTGCCGGATGGATAAGAATAAGATTGTTCATGAATAACACACGAACACACGAACAAACACACGAACAAACACACGAACAAACACACAAACAAACACACAAACACACAAACAACGTTACCCTTGAAACGACGAAAATTGGTCAACCTCATCATCTTAATTGTAATTATTAAGATGAGACCATTATTGGGTATTATAGATCCGTCCAGACAGCTAGAATCTTGGTACCTGCATCACCAGACTCCACCATCTCAAATGATTTTCCGATCGATAACACCATCATTTTGCCATCATCGGACATCCATGGATTGGGGCAGAGTGTGAGTGATGCCCAGGTGGTTATTTACCTAGGTACTCCAGCCACTATCATTAGCCACTGGAGAATGTTTTGGTGACGGCCGGGGGCGTCAACAAATAACTTATCAAGGATCCCCGGGGCCATGGATGACCTCGACTTCTATTTTTATTCCTTTTTTGGATTCCCTTAATTAATCCTCGGGCCGATGGATTGGATTGGGATTGGATACACGGAGCGTCAGAAGACTCAGAGTAGGGAAAAACCCTTCGAACCTTAGAACAAGGATTAAATTTCATACATCGTACACAGAAAGGCATAAGAGAAAGGCATAAGGCATCCTCGGTCGAGGAGGTGATTCTCAACAGGGATTGAATTATGTACATACAAACATTATTAACCCTACCTAGGCAGGCGAGGCAAGGTAAGGTAAGGTCCCGATTTTCGTCATCAGCGTAGCAATCTACGATAATACGATATCCATATCTTGGTTCCTGGGTAGATGGGTAGATGGGTAGATGGGTAGATGGGTAGATGGGTAGATGGGAGAAGAGTGAAGGGTAGATGGGAGAAGAGTGAAGGGTGAAGGAAGAGTGGTGATATTAAATCTACGATAAGAGCCATCCATAGCTGATCAACCAATGTAAAAACAACAACAAGAAGTCAAATGTCATTCATTAGCTCACCACACCTACCGACTCACATGTACATATATATATACATATATATACATATTCATTGAAGAGATTCATTACGCCATACATCATCTGTGTTCAATCATGTTCAGTGGGTGAATTCCAATTTCTTTCTTTCTCTCTTTCTTTCTTTCTTTCTTTCTTTCTTTCTTTCTTTCTTCCTTCAAAAACAATCCCTTGGTACCTTACCTACACAAAGTAACGAGGGTATTACAAGGATAACACCAGCCTTCACCATTCTTTCTCCACGATTTCAGCCACTCCCTTTACCTCTTTCTCGCGCCTTGCACACTGAGGAGAGGTAACATTGTGAACAACTTTCGAATTAATCCACCCTAGACCCGCTTCATTCCAATCAAAACGGATCCCATTTCTCTTTTCTCAAATCAGTTCTGAATATTTCTGGAGTGTCAGCTTTTTTTATGATTTATGCTGCATGGAACGGTCTGAGATGCGAGGGTTCTAACGCGATTTCGTACCTACTCGGCGTTCGACTTTGGAATATCAGTTGAGGAATTCCCAAATACAATGCTCAGCTAGAGCTGGCGAGGGAAGAAAGCAAGCAAGAAAGAAAGATCGAAAGAAAGCAAGCAAGAAAGAACTTGGAAGTTATTATACACACACTCGAGACCGAGATCAACTTTACAGCTAGGAGAACACAACCTCAACCACGACCTCGACCTCGAGCATTATCTTTTAATAAATCATCATTGAAGTATAATCTAGTCTTACTTTCTTTGAAGCATTAATAATACCTCACTCTCTTTCTCCATCATGGCGACGAAACTCAAAATGGCGGGCATGCATACCGCTGGAATCTTCTCGGATATGACGGTCGATGGTCCAGTAATTGGTACTCTAGTTGTTATCGTTGATCGAGCCAAGAATTTACCAAACAGAAAGACAATTGGAAAACAAGATCCGTATTGTGCAGCTCGTCTGGGAAAGGAAGCAAAAAAAACGGAGACAGATAAGAGAGGTGGACAAACCCCTCGATGGTAAGTGCTCAATGAGGACTTTATGTCGACTTCATCACTGACCAGGCCATCTAGGGATCAAGAGCTACGATTTACGGTTCACGATTCGCCAGATTACTATCAATTAAAGGTCTCAGTATTTAATGACGACAAGAGAACAGATTTGATAGGAGAGACTTGGGTGAACTTACAAGATGTCATTGTTGCAGGAGGGGGACAAAGTGATATATGGCATAACTTAAACTTCAAGGGGAAATATGCAGGAGAGATTAGGGTCGAGATCACATATTATGATAAAAGACCCAAACCAGAGAAACCAGAGAAGAAGGAACCCAAACAAATTTCATCGACAATTACTCCATCTACATCTGTGCAATCGATAACGGATTTCGGAAGTGTGAGTGGGAGCGCAAGTGGAAGTGGGAGTTTGAGAGAAGGAGTTGGTGGGCCCAGACAATTAGGGGTGAAGCCAATTGTTAAGAGGCGGCCTTTACCAACCGATCCAATCACTGGAGCTCCAGCGCAACCTCCTGTGGCAGCACCCGCGCCAGCCCCGATCCCTGCTGCGGTACCACATCCTGCTGAACTTGTCCACACTCCTCCGCGAGGATATCAAGCCCCATCTACAGTAGACCATATGCAAATGACTCCTACTCGTGGATATAGAGACTCTCCTTCTGCCATACCAGATCATGTCCAAACCCCACCTCGAGGCTATCAAAACCCACCGAATGGAATACTAGATCACATTCAGACACTGCCGCAAGGATATAAGATGTCTCCGAATGCTTTGCCAGATCACGTCCCTCGGGGATATGCAAATCCACCGGTAATTCAGGACCAACCTTCGCCTCGTGGATATCCAAGTTCTGCTGCTATGTCTGATCCCATGCAAGCACAGCGTGGGTATCATTCCCCTACTATTGGTCAGGAGCACGCGCAAACGCCACCACGTGGATATCAGAACGGATTCGTTCAGGAACAATCGCCTGTACAAAGAGTGGAATATAATGCACCTTCAACCCGATATAACCAACCCCAAGGATATGATATTAGCCCAGGATCGACTCCATACGGAGCACCCCAAGACATGATGGTTGCAGCACCACCAAGCTCCCAATCAATACGGAGTAACGATAGATATGAGATTCACGATCCAATGTTGAGAAATGATTACGATCAAGGTCATGATATGAATCAATACGCCGCCCATGAAGCGGATTCTCGCGATAGATATGGAGGCTCTCGTATGCTAACGTATGAGCCTCAGCAGCAGCCAGGTCCATATGAACTTCCGATGAGCCCTGGCCCTCCCCCACCTCCCCCGGCTCATGCAAGCAAACACATGAGCTCGGTGCCAACTCTCGCCCAACCCAAGGCTATCCATGGTCGTCCAGTCAGTCGGGGAACTTCCAATCCATATAACACTTCCGGGGATGATCTGCACCGTCATGCAATGCCTGCTCATACACAGCCCACCTCAGCCTACCAGGCCTATAGCCCACCAAAGAACGATGACCAATTCCGAAGGTCCGGAAATGGAAACCCTTACCTACCCCGGAAAAACTCTTATGATTCGAGGGATTTGAGATACAATCCCACTTATGACGACATGCAGCCAACTGTCGAGGATGCCCCGCCAACACCAGCGCCAGGACCAGGACCGAACGGTTATCAGACTGCTATACCCCATAGAGGCAGTGCACCAGGTGCTATGCAACACCCAGCTGAAGGAATGTATGACCAAGTACCGGCACCATTAAATTTACGGCATCGACCTAGTCGCAATAGTATTGCAACAACTGCCCCGAGTCATCAACATTCGAATAGCTCAGGTGGCTATCCGACATCCAGTTCTATGTCTTCTGTCAGAGATGGCGCTTCTGTGACCTCAAGAAACTCCTATGGCCAACTCTCATCATCCCGCCAAGACAGGAGCCAGTCTCTAGGTGTGCAGAATACCAATGGAGACTATGGCTTGCCTGAGATGCCACCAACTTTGGTACCGGGAATGGATCCAATCATCGCAAAGGAAATTTCGGATCGGATTTATCACGAAAAGCGAGCAAGTTATAGCCAAAACCCTGCATCTTCGCAGCGAGGAAGATATCAAGAGATCCCAAGACATCAACCACAACAGATTCAACAGCCAATACCCCTTCCCTATCATGATAATTCGGCTGTTGTTCCATACTCCCCACAAGCAGCGTATGACGATCGCCAAAGTCGATACGCTGCGTCTACTGCTATGGTGCCAGTAAAACCTAGGGGTACGTCGCCTAATCCTGCAATGGATAGACGAGGAAATTCGCCTAACCCTATGGATCGAAGAGGCGTATCTCCCAACCCAGTGGATAGAAGAGGTGCATCTCCCAATCCACCTATGGACAGAAGAGGTGTTTCACCTAATCCTATGAACAGGAGAGGTACCTCTCCTAACCCAGCAGTCATGCGAAAACCGGTCAGTCCTGCTCCAGAGCCTCGAAGATTATCAGGTATTGCATTCGGGCCAGATTCATATGATGTTTTCAATCCAAGTCTGGCAGGATCGAAGTCTGCAACATCTTTAAGCGCTGCTTATGATTCTAAAGATGATCCCGACGCCAAAATCATTACCTATGATGGTAGGGAAATCGATCCAAGTGATCACATCCCTGAATCTAATTATGCACCACTCCTTGAACAAAAGGGACCAAAATACGCTTCGCAAATGCCAGATCGCAATTATCGACCTCCACCGGCAGAACATCAAATGCCATCAAATGGTCGTAAGCAATTACGTCAAGCAGGAAGGCCTCAGTCAATGGCCGTCTCTTCCCCAATTTACTTCAGCGGCGGCATTCCTGATAACCCTCCAGCTACCGCTCATAGGAAACTCCAAAAGAAGTCAAACCGGATGTCGGCACAACCTGCATACCATTCATCCCCAAATGTACCGATGTACAAAGAACCAACATACGCATCTAGTAGAACGTCAATGCAGAGACCTTCAACGGCTGAATATTCTCATGACAGTTATCAGTCAAATGGTTATCAGTATGGAAGTAGCCCTGGAGGTGGATATAGAGGAGCGGTTGGGCCAGTCGTGCCAGCGAAAATTCCGATGGCATTGCCGGCTCCGGCTAG